ATATAACATGATCATTTGCAAATTCACTTTCCTTAGACAAAGTCAAAATCTACATGTAAATACTTTGACTTCATTAAATTTTTTAAATACAAACCTTTTATAACTGCCTAACAAAAGATAAAAGACCAAGTCAACTTCTGCATTTTCCCAGAATCTTTTTTAAACTGCAACTTACTAATCCATTCACAAAAATTACAAACTTAAAAATAAAAAAAGACAAATATACCCCCGTTCAAAAAAAAAAAGGTTTTCAAATAAGAAAGAACTAGAGATTCAATGGTTTATTCTAGACTAGGAATACTACCAAAGTGGTATAGCCTTTACTCTAGAATATAATTTGATAGTTTCTTTAAAAATAAAACGCATAACCACCATCTAATCCAGCAATTGGCCTGCGAGCATTTTTCCAGGCAAAAGTTCATACCCACACAAAAACTTGTGCATGAATGTTTACAGTAGCTTTATTCACAATAACCCAAAACTGGATATAAGCCAAATATCCTCCAATGAATATATTCATAGCAAGCAATACTGCTCAGCAATAAAAAGGAATGAACAAGTGATACATACAACTTGAATGAATACCCAGAGAATTATGCTGAGTGAAATTAGCTAATTCCAAATGGTTATACACTATATGACTCCATTTATATAACTTTAAGATAACAAAATTACAGACAGATTAGTGGCTGTCAAGGGGTTAAGAAGACAGAAGAGGAATGCATGTATGGCTATAAAAAGGGCAGCATAAGGGATACTTGGGGTGAAAGAAACATTCTTTATCTTATCTGTATCAGTTAAACACCAGGGCTTTGATATTATAGGTATTTCAAAATGTCACTACTAGAGGAAGCTGGGTAAAGAGGATATGAATTCCCTGTATTATTTTTACAACTACATACGAACCTACAATTATTTCAAAATACAAGGTTTCATTTTTTTTTAAATAAGTACTATAAAAGCCCTCTATCCAACAAAAATGATCAAAGTCAACAACCTCTTCTCCTGGAATTTGTAAATTATACAAGGCAATATACATAAGTTTTAGAAGTTTATTTTAAAATTACAGTGCATAAATATACACATTATTTGGGGTATTAAAGGATACAATATGTGCTATTACAGAAAGCATGTGAGTGGCTAAAAAAACAAAACCTCAAATTCATCCTAATACCCAGGCATATAAAGGCATATTACATTTTAAAGCTTTTTTTTAAGTATAAGAAAGAAAAGCCAGGTGTTGGGGTGCCTCCTATAAACCCAGCTTCTTGGGAGACTGAGGTAGGAGGATCACAAGTTCAAGGCCAGCCTTCATAACTTAGTGAGGCCTTGTCTCAAAATAATAAAATAAAATAAAAAGGGCTGGGGCTGGGGTTGTGGTTCAGGTATAGAGCAGTCGCCTAGCACATGCGAGGCCCTGGGTTCGATCCTCAGCACCACATAAAAATAATAAATAAAAATAAAGGTACTGTGTACAACTATAACTAAAAAATAAATATCTAAATAAATAAATAAAAAGGGCTGAAGTACTGGGGAAAGAACTCAGTGATACAGCTTCCCTGGGTTCAACCTCTAGTATCATAAAAAAAAATAAAAAATCTATAAAAATTCAAGGTTAGAAGACAGACAATAAGGGCTGGGGCTATGGCTCAATGGTAGAGTGCTTGATTAGCATGCGTGAGGCACAGAATTCAATCCCCAGCACCATATAAACAAACTAAATAAACAAAATAAAGGTGTTGTGTCCATCTACAACTAAAAAATTAAAAAAAGAAGATGGACAATAAAATAATAACAATAACAACAAAAAAATCAAATGTTAAAAATACTTTAGGGGAAAAATATTAATCATGTGTTATGGGTAAAGAGTATGTGTGACATGGAAGGTGACTATTATTTTATGTGGGATAGACAAGGAAAACTACAAAACAGTGGCATTTCAGCAGAGTCTCATTGAAATGATAAAGCAGGCCATGCTGAGGCTAAGAGTTCAAAATATTGAGAACAAAAACCAAGTTCTTCAAGAAGCATGCTTGTCATGCTCTCTGAACACCAGAGTGAGCAGTGGTGTTAAAGTAGAAAATGAGGAAGCAGAAAGTAAGAGAGAAGGCCAGAGTCATAGACTTCTAATTTTACAGGCTCCTTCCAAGTCTTGAGAAAAGCATTAAATAATCTGTTCAAATATCCACACACTGACAACATTTGCAAAACCAAGATATTTTAACCACAAATGATTAACAGCACTATCACATTACTTTCTGATTTCTCTATCAGATTTCTTCTTGAAGTGAATAGTCACAGGCATTTTGGAATCCAGTTTACTAGTATTTCAAGTGAATAATTTAGTATATCAATATATATTTATTAATTTGCTTTCCACCTGCTTCTAGGTTTAGAAAATTGATTTCTGGTAGTACATGAAGAGTGATTTCTAGCAATAATCCACCATTCACTGTGCCAATTTACCCTGTCATGACATTAAAGTGAAAGATCAGAGGACACACTAACATACAGACATGCCAACCTCTGGAAATATGTAGATAATGACAAAGAAATAGATTTGAAATGCCCAGAACCAGAAAATAGATTGCCAAAAGCTTTTTCAATCATCAAACATGTAAAGTAGTAACATCTTATCAAGGCCTACTTAAAATGGAAGCTTCTTCCTATTAAGAAAATGAAATAAATATTATTACTATTAATATTATTATTAATATACCAATACTTTATGGGTTTTTTACTAATGGAAATTGAACTACAGGCAATTTTTTAGAATTCCCATGTTTTAGAACTACTACCTAAAACAGAATTGAAGTCTGTGTATTAAGTCACATGATTTAACTATTTCAAATATGAATAATTTAGAAAACATATTTCATAAATAATATAAGAGGAAAGACTGAATTATATTTTTTTCCTCTCTACAGAAAATGATATCATAAAGTCATCTTATAAAGAAACAAGCAGGTTACAACCAATAAATAATGGAAAAAAGTATTATAGAGATAGACGATTATTTTATAAAATATTTCTGGACTTGTTATGTCTGATGTGTATCACCTTTATAAAATTAAAGCTACATAATTCAAATTAAATGTTTAACAGATAGGATAAACAAGGCCCTTGGTTCAATCCCTAACATGTATACACAACTTAGTTAACTTGAAGACAGGCCTGAAGAGATAGCCAGAATTAAGCAGAGATGAGAAAGTGGGAAAATGTTAACAGCAATAATAAAATCATGAAAAGGAAAATGCAGTTTGACATACATCTACAAGGAATTCCTGTTAAAATAACTCAATATAGAGAGCAGGAAGAAGCAAGATCAAAGAGAGAATGGATATGAATTTAATTCCAGATCTATTAGTCCTCAGACTGAAGAAGCAAACTAGGTCCTGATCAAACTAAATGAAAATTCTACATCCTAATGAATACAACTTGCCAAGATAAATTCTTCGAAAAGAAATCACAAAAACAATTGAGAGAAAAGACAAAATACCTATAAAGTAAAACCAGACAGAGAACAGATTTCAAAAAGTATCTATGGAGAACAAAAATAAAGCATTATTATATTTAAATTACTGTCAACTTAGAATTGTAAAGCCAGAAAGACTATTATTAAATCAACAAAATATTAATCAAATCTCTACAACAAGCCAGACTATGATTAGGTACTTGTAGTACAATGGGAGATAAAATATAAAAAGTTCCTGACTTCATATAATTTACATTCTTGCTAGATTTCTTTCATGAAGAATAAGACAAAAAAGAAACACTTTGCTCTCCTGGTGTCTAGAAATGCCCATCTCACTTCAATTAAGAGCTTAGAATATTAGTTTTCTACAGTATATATTTTAAAATAACTTACTTATAATGTACCCTTTACTTTCCTAATCTATGGTACATAAAACCTCTGAAACTGTATAGAAATTTAAGTGTTTGTCTGTATATGAGCAGTTCTCTATGAAGAATGTCCATCCTGTCATCAAAGTCTTAAAGAGATCTATGACTCAAAAAGATTAGAACCACTTTTCTCTGACCCAGCTCCTCTGAGGTGCTACAGTACCTTACCAGTCATCTTTTAGTTCTTTTTATCCATTATTATTTCTACTATAACTTCTCCATCAATGAAATGACTATCTCATGGGCCAGCATCTAGCATAGTAACTACTAACACATGGGTACTGAACAAAAATTATTTTACCACTGAAATGAATTGCTAAATATATCTCTGAAATATACTCCCTTATTATAGAATTTTAAAAACTATCCTTAGGTAAATAAATTATCCCTGCTTAATTGAATTTTTTAATGTTGCCTATCAATTCTATTAAGCAACTTTAAAAGATATTAATGTGAATATGTTCTCAAAATATGAACTTAATGGTAGAATTGAACGATTATATATATATATATTTATATACACACACATATACATACATATATTACATATATATGTATGTATATCAGAATATCAGACTAGATAATATTAAACAAAGAATATCAGACTAGATAATATTAACTTCATTTCTGTCAACTTAGAAATTTAGAAGCCTAACCAATTATATTATTAAATGTACTCAGTCTTTGGAGAAGTACCATGGTGTTTTAATGTTTAAATAGGTATATCAAAAAAATTCATCCTTAAACATTTTTCCTATAAGAAATGGCAGCAGAGGCAGAATATGAAATTCAACATACAGGGAGAGAACTAGATATACAGTAATGTGAAAATGTAAGCTCAGAGAAAAAAAGTCATGAAGGGCACAGGACAATGAATCACTTTCCTACTAAAATAAGAGAAAGTCAGTCCTATAGGATAAAAACAAAGCAGATAGTACCAAGGTTCTTTTAAACATTTAAGTTTGTCCTTTAAAATAGAGATGGAAAAAAAATATTCTCAAATTGAATTAGTTTTCCTTTTTTTAAGAAAATGTAATTTTTAAAAAATTAAAAAGCATATGGAAAAGTCAGTTAAAAAAAAAGAGAGCATTACTTACCAAGTTGGCCATATAAATTGTGAGCAGCCCTCTCCTGAAAATAATTTTAAAAAGAGAGTAAGATTAAACTTCAATTTGATTCAATGGTCATTTTATCATTTTTTTAATAAATCTATCAAAATAATTTTCAGGAGTTGAAAAACATACTGGTATCTTAGAAAAATGGGTGCATAGTGCCAAACTAAGTTTTTACTGTCTTAATAGTTGGATCTAAATAGTTCTAAATCATTCTACTTAAAGGTTAGAGTATGTTTATAAAAAGAATTTCTTTTTTTTTTCCATACAGGATTTCAATGCATTGTCCAGATTGTACAGCCTGATCTCCAACTCCCCCTTTTTTGACCTGCCAAACAATGAGACTACAGGTGTAGGTCACCATACCCAGCTTATGCTACAGAATTCTAAACAAATTCATCCTGCCAAAAAGTCAAATCCATAAAAATTCTGAATAAATGCAAATTTATCCTCCAAAACTCAAGAATTCTATTTGTTTTATACATGATCATTTATAACATTCGATGTTGTTACACATTACATGAAATCACCTTGGTTTTAATTTCATTGTGAAGTGAAAAATCAGGAATTTAGAAGGTTTATCAAGCTAAAGCTTCCTAAGGATAAATGAAAGCTATAAACACTCCCTTTACATAAAAGCTGTATATTCATCAAGCTTATTTAATGAAAATTCAGACAGAAACTCAAGCTCTATTTTCTGCTTTTAAACAGTTTATTTAATTTATACAGTGTATAAGAAATGAATGAAATACATCTTATTCACTAGAACGTCTTTAACATACTTTAAGAGTTCAAATAATAAACTTCAAAAATTTCAAAAACTTATTTGGGTTTGAATGTTGAACACTTTCAGTACTCAAAGAATAAAATACTTTTAAGCTAGGAGCGGTGGTGTATGCCTCTAATTCCAGTGGCTAGGGAGGCTGAGGCAGGAGGATCTCAAGTTCAAAGCCAGCCTCAGCAACTTAGCAAGGCCCCCCAGCTGTTTAGAGAGACCCTGTCTCTTAACAAAATACAAAAAAAGGGATGGGGATGTGGCTCAGTGGTTACATGCCCCTGGATTCAATACCTGGTATTAAAAAACTTTATATATGAAACCAATACCAATATCTAATTGTTCTTATTTAAATATTCCAGGTCTGCATATTAATATTGTCAATGAAATCTTCTTGTTATCAAATACATATATAATATTGATTGTTCATTATGTAAAATGGCTTACTAGATTTTTAATATTCCCAAAGACACATGGAGGCAATGTGATTTAGCTGGACAGTGATAAAGTGAGGTTAGGAAATCAGGGGCTCTAGTTAAATTTATTTCTCTGGCACTGTGTCATCTCGAGTTAAAATGAAGGAATAGGACTTTACTGACATTTCTTAAACATGATTTTTAAAATAATTTACATGTAATCATCAAAATATAAAATATAATATTAAACTTACTTTAGTTGAAAAGTAAGAATGTACAGGTATCACTGTGCCAAACATGCTAGGGAATCTCCCTCCTCCATTGGTCTTAATGTACCTTAGAAAAACACCAGAATCCTATTGCCACTCCAAATAAGGACTTAAAATTTTATCAGTGGTAAGATGATTTCTCAGGTCACTTTTGTGTCTTGTTTTCTATATGTGGATTAAAATTTTCTTGCTAATTCTGTTCAACTTTGCCAGTTCTTAAAAAATTATAAAGCAAAAATATTCCAATATATTTTTAATAAATTATAAAGAAAAATTAATATCCATAAGTTAAACACATATACAAAAAAAGTAAAATACTTCACAAGAGATACCTATTTTTATCAAAAGCCGATTATGAATGAAGAAATAAATATTCTTTAGTTATAAATTCCCAAATAAAAATGTTTCTGTTCTTTCAGTGTCATTAACTGATAATATATTTCATTATGAAGAAATACTAAGAATGCATATGATGCTATTTTTAAAAGCAACTGTTCTACTAACTTTATTCTATAATACTGAATAGTAATGCAGCTACAGTTTCATCACTAACTTCCATCAACCTGTATATAAAACTTTATCTTTAACCACAGGACAAAGATTGTAGTGCGTACCTTTCTATTTCCACAAACCAGCAATAGTAGCTGGCAATGCTAATTGTAGAATTACTAAACATATAACCATCAAAGTATTTCTAGGAAGTCAAGTCTTATAAATCATACAGACAAATATTTTAGACACATACCTGCACAGACTAGAAAGAGGGAAGACCAACTAATGATATTAATTCATTAGCAAGTAGAAATGTTTATCCTTATTCTATTGAATCAAAGAATCAAAGAAGTTAAGTGGTTTCCTTAAAAATGAATTAATAGCAAACACACAATGGAATTAGGAGTCAATTCATCTGCCTTCAGTTTCAGATTCTATCCCATGAATTGCTTCTCCAGCAGAAAATTTTTATAGTATCAACTTACTTCTTATGTCTGAAATTCACTGACTTATTTAAAATGCTTTCTTCATAGGTTTCTATGCTTTGAGGATGAATAAAGACTTGACATGCTCTTACCATTGTAAAAAAGCAGAGGATGTATTTTTATTACCTTGTGGCCTATTCTGATCTCAAGTTTCAATTTATCCTTCTCTAAATCACCCCCTTCCCAACCTTGTTCCAACCTGGCAGTTAATACCACAAGAATGACAGGTCAGTCTCTGTGAAAAGCATGATAGTTTGGATTATAGAGTTACATCCTTTTTGATAGAATTTCCTTGATACAATGTCTTCATCCCTTATGCCAATGTCAACTTTGTAGTTTTACAATATCAAACAGATTTATTTAATCATTTCTCTAATTATGTTAGGTATCACATGAACCTGAGAAACTAATCACCTAAATCTGAAGGAAACAGTGATGGGGAAGGAAAAGGTACCACTTAGAAAAGAGGGGACTAGGATCAAGAAGGACAATAAACTACTTGTTAAACTTCACAGGAGATTTGGATGTACATATACTCCCACTCTACTGAAAATCACTAGGTTTTTGAACATGACCAAATAAATACTATTTCTTTAAACCATGGATAAGTCTGTGCGTGCTCTCTCACTAGCTCGCTTGTGTGTGAGCTCGTGCTCGCTCTAGCGCTCTCTCTCTCTCTCTCTCTCTCTCTCTCTCTCTCTCTCTCTGAGGAAAGGAATGAACACCTTAAATTTTCATATAAAACTTTAGTTGAGTATTCATGTTCATATATAGAGGTATTATCTTTAAAAAAACTAGTCAGACTATAAGCATTCCTATAGGAAACATTAAATTTTGTATAACATTTTAATAGTTGAAAATATCCTTATATACTGCTTAAATTCTAAGCATTATCTTCTCACATCATTATCATTTCTAAATTTATGGCAATGCTTTTGAAACTTCAATGCAAAAAAAAAAAACTTCAGTGCATTTATTCTTTAGCTAACCTCAAAATGTTGAATGACATGTAACACATTTCAAAACTGATGTCACTGGAGAGTATACTAGGAACAACATAACCCCTAAATTCTAAATATTTGTATATCCTATATATACATATAAAGTATAATATAAAAATACTTAATATTCTCTATATTAGGAGAAATTAGAGATTAAAACAAAGACAAAGTGAAAGGTCATAAAATTGTAATTATATAAAGAAATACTATTTAATCATCACAAAGATCCTTGAAGATATAATAGATTTTCATCTGTCAAAATGTTTTAGAAGATTATAAAAATACTTCATTAAGGAAAAGAAATAAACAAGACAAACTTCCACTCTGAAGCAATCATATATAGAACACAATCATATATAGTACATAACACAGAGTTGGCTTTTCAGAAGTCCTCAAGGTCTTGCCACTTAAACTTGAAGATAACCAAGAATTTATACACTAAATTCATGATTCTTTTATTCACACATTATATGCACTTTAATCATTTGGTCATATATGTTTAGGAGCTTCAAACCTACTATCGTGCAATTTAATAACTCAACCACTAAGTATGCTTGAAAGAAATATGCTATTTTGATATTTTAATACATGTCCAAGTTTCAGCATACTGCAGTTTTTAAATTATCTAAATGAATACTAAATATCAAAGCAAATTCCATAGTAATTCTATAAAACAAAATCCATCAGAACAACTTCTTTCTAAACCACAAACAAAGCACTTCCTAAAAAAAAGAAAGTGAGGACTAGTCTTAACAGCCCTCCTAGGGATAAACTCCATGTTACCAATGCTTCCTGCTGAGTTACTATGATCACAGTTCTTTGTTACACAAATTTTTTAAGCAACCCTGGAAACAACTTCAAAGCTTTCTCAGAACCCCACAATGATGTGATTAAGATTTAAGTAAGCCTCCCTCTTACTAGGTGTCAGGAAGTAGCTGGCAAAGCATGTTTAGCTCTGTGAAAAGAGGGAAAGAAGGAGAGAAGGAGGAACTAATGGAGGGATGGAGGGATGGAAGGATGGAGGGATGAAGGGATGAAGGGATGAATAGATTAGAGAAAGAAAAAAGGTATGGAGGAAAGAGTTAATCCAATATAGATGAAGAAACATATATGGATATAGGTAGATCTTCATCTGTGCACCTATATTTATATCCAAATAGGTGAACAGGAAGGTAGGCAGATAGAGATCTATAGTGTATATACTTACCTTATTAAACACTTTTTGGAAAGTGATATACAACTGAATACAAAATGTATATAATAATGGAGTAAGATTTTCTTCATTAAGTAAAGCTTTAAAGGTTTAAAAAACTAGGACTTTCACTATTTACAATTTGGGAAGGGGGGGCGGAGACTCCTAATCTTCCACAATGTATTTCTTCCACTCTGGTGACTGTTACCAAAAAGACTGACTCAACTGCACACATTTCAATTAGCTCCTTAAATAGCTGTTTCCCAACTTTAAACCTCAGGCCTCTTCTTATTCTGGGCCTTACTACTCCAATATATCCCACAGCTACAACGACCACCTTTTAGAAGGAAACTTCCAAATTTTGTTAATTACCATCTTTCCCTAAATCT